TCTAAAATAACCAATCATATAAAGTTTCCACTATGATTACTTTAGAACCTGTTATTGTCAAATAGCTGACGCTGGAGTGGGGTTGATTTTACGTAATAAGTGTCAGCTCCCTTACGGTGTCGGGAAATGAGTTGGCGGTTAAATAGTTCGGGGAATTGAGCGACAACCATCGTTATTGCATATGAAAATTGTACAATACACGTGATTTTAAAACAAAAAATCGAATCGCACTGAGTATTATAGTCAATGCCGACATTGAAAAGTAAAAACACATGTTATGTGTAAAATATAGGAAAATATTCAGTAACGACGTACCTTTCGTAACTCCATAGAAGGCGATGATGTTAGGATGTCCCTGAGCATTTCGCAAGATTTCGACCTTATATGAAATGATCGCATATTGGTAGTAAAATTTAATCAGAGATAGTAAAACAAATTTTCCCTCGCTGATATTTATCCGGAATATAATAATCACCCACTTTAAATAGGTGAGAAAAATGTTTTAACCAGCTTTATTAAAACCCTAGATACTATAAATAAAAATTTCATTTACCTCACTGTTGAAATTTTGATTTTGTGTACTATCCCTTAAGCGTTTAAGGGCTCTTGTGATTTTACAACATTTACATTCAGATTTATAAATAACGCCTGAACCACCACTATTAATTTCTATAAACTTGTCAAAATCGATACAATCATGCAGCTCATAATTAGTGATCCTGGTCGAGAAAGTTTTCATTTTTATTTAAATCGATAAATAAACGATAAAGAAAATATTTATTGAATTAAGTTGAATAAAAAGGCTGGGAGATCTATTTAAATAGCTATTTTTATAAAATCTCTAGCCGAAAAACTTGTGGTAATAAATTTTACCAGCTTTCCAAAAAATGGAATGATATGTTTCACACCGTCAGGTGGGTTCTTTTTGGATTGTATTACATGTATAATGTAATAAATGATGATCTGAGTTACCGTTACTTAGCTATTTTTGAAAATCATGTTACACATGATCTTGCAATCTACAGTTAACCCGCATGCACCCTTGGGAATATAGGAAAAAATTTTGCATTTAGAGAGGGTGTACATTTATGGCGAGCATTTTATTAGGTGCGATATATGTTTAGGACGAAAGTTAGTGTGCATTTAGAGAGGGTATATATAGTGCATGCATTTTTTGTGGGTGATTTATGGAGGTTTTACTGTACATAAGAGCCTTTTCTTATCAGGGTTTGTATCACTGACGCAAATAAGTAAATAACTACATAGTTTGGTTTACTTTTTACAAGTAAAAAGTACTACGTATTTTTTGAACTGTTAATTTGAACTATTCCTTAATATTTTATATACTTATTTGGGTTTACAAGTACAATAAGTGATAAAAATAATAGTGTTTAGTGCAGGTGTTATTTAGTAGACATTTATGTGATGGTTAATTAATAAATTTCTTATCCTTATTATATTTTTATCTTAGGATTTCATAGCATGTTATTAGAAATATATAGAAGCACAACTTATATATTTTATGTATATTTCATGAATCTTAGGATGTTCTCCAACCTCAATCCCGATGCAATTAGTTAGTGATCGTAATAGTGCACAACCATAATAATATTCATATAAAATTTTTGATAACAATTCGAATATGCATATTATAGATGCAAATTATGGACTAGTTAGTAAACATGACGTTGCTCATTTATTATAATTAATCATAATAAAATTGCAATTGACACTTGAACGATTCATTATTTATCAAATGTCGTCGCTGCTAGGTTTAGGTCATCTTCAATATTTGATTGTTGTACATGAAGAAATTCTTGGTGAAATAGTAAAATTTGTTGCTGGCTTTTTATTGTTCATAAATACTTTTAGTATAATGAATAAAATAATAATTCATTGATGTATGAGTTGGATCCATGACAAAGTTACTTGAGGGATCTTTTTGAATACTCCATGATAAAATCATCTAATGTTTTTTTTTTTAGGATTTTATTTTTTATCGCTATAGCGATGTATCGCTACCTCTGAGATTTATTTGTCGCGTCATGCGATGTCGGGGTTTCAATAGGTAATCTATATTACTAATCATATGTGGAGCTTGAATATTGAAACTCCGACATCGCATGACGTGACATTTAAGTTTCGGGATTTTGATTTTCGGAATGTTGATTTGACTTCGACCCGGGTGGCGATACATCGCTATAGCGACAAATTATAAAGCCCTTTTTTTTATTTGCTAATAAATATTTTCCGACTAACTCATATAATTATAAATATATTTCTGCTTGCTATTTTTTTTCACGTGTTACTATGTAATCATGTTTATTCAAATTAAAACTTAGCTGACAACTCCCGTGATCATAAATTGTCGGATAACACCATTATTGGGCAAATTTGCGAATACGATAATTTGACAAATGATTGGCTGTACGTGAACCAAAGCGGCACGTGTTCATTTGCCAAATTGCCATTATTCGAAAATTTTTGCCAATAATGTATATGTCGCACCCCAGATTGGAATTGTCCCGATCCAGAATCGGGCTACCCGTATAGGAATCTTGTGAATTGTTATGGCAGAATTAAGACTTTAGGTTAGTGTTAGAATTGGGGTTTATAATAAAAATTTTTTAATTTTGCTAGTATAATTCGGGCCAAAATTACAAAATTCTCATCCGGGACTGTCCCGATTCTGAGTCAGGACAGATTCCAATTCGGGGTACAACATATACAAATTCTTCACAATGACAAACGCACTTGGCCCTTTTAAAAGATTTCTCGCTATGTAAAATTTATTCTTCGATACTTTTTTACCCATTGATTAAGACGTTTGAGAATGCCTTAAGTCTAATACTGTATAGCGAAACTGAATTAAAATATTTACTGCAAAATCAACAGCATATTTATTACAAAATCAACAGTATATTTCTTACAAAACAAACAATATAGGATCATTATAAAATTATAATATGCATCTTTAGAAAGTATTACCTAATTGTTTGAAAGTTCATGACTGAGGTATAGCCGATATTATGACCTACATTTTTAACAGTAAATCAAAACGAACTTCTACTATGCTATATAGTAGTATATTAAATACGTTGAAGTATAAAATAAATAATTTCGTCTTTAAAATAAAAAAGAAAATTTTGTTATTTTTAATATGGATTGAAAAAAGGTCAATTAAATAGTAGAGAGGCTATATATTCACTAGATCTAGGAAGAAAACTACTGTGACGGAAAAAATTTGAAGTTTGGCTTTTCCTGCTTGAGGCGTAGGATTTGGCGAGTATTTTTTCTTACTACTTTACTGTTTTTTATTCACTAACACTGATAGTAACAAACTACTATATCTACTAAACAACCGTTTCTTTATTATGATCTCTAGCCTCCCGGGCACACCAAAAGATAAGTAAAATATTAACTTGATTTGCCTCTTTTAAACATTCGCATTCTTAATACTTTACTAATAGTTTTACTTAGTGTTAGGGTTTTGGTATTTTTGTCTTGATCGTATGTCATACCTGATCTCGAATTTTAATTTGACCAGATAACAAGATTTTTTAGGGCGGTGATGCTATAGTGGTTTGATAGAGACACGCAAATCTTGTAATTAATTTTGTCTTTATGCGTAATGCTGTAGTTTATTTTTTGTGAAGGTTAAATTTTGGACAATTGAATACGTACACATATGAACACGGGATTTACCAATCAGAAAAATAAACATTTGATATGACGAATTATATAGTCTTTTATTTTTAATATGATTAATGCCGACTATATTTTGTTTCTAAGATGGGCTTTATTCATAATTTTATCGAATTTAGGCACTATACATTAAGAAAATAGCTATTACATATACTTAATAAGTATTTAATATACCAAACTAAATTTATTATAGATTTTTATTTGAAATCAACAATTATATTTTAAACTTTAAAAAATCTCTATAAATATCTCCTAAATAATTTTCTCCTAATTATTTTTGTCAAGAGTTAATGAATTAAAGGTATTTGTTTTTATAAAGCATTTTTTCTAAACCATTTTATCGACTAAAACAATATTATTAAAGGAAATATATAATGAAATTAGAGTGGCCTATTGCCGCTTTTCCCATCAGATCAATCTAAACATACATAGGTAAAATAATAAATTTTCTACAAGTATTTCATACAACTTTTCCAAATATCTTTCACATCAAAATATTTTTCACGCTTTTTTTACATATAATTTAGGTAAAGTCTTGCTCCTACAACCGAACTTCTATTGTGTGCAAGATCTAAATTGGCCAAAGTATTATTTTAACGGAGTATTCCAGTCAATCACTTTTCTCAGGACATGTCAGTATTATTTTCTTTGGGGCATAGTAAAGAAATTATTAATAAAGCAAAGCGCTGCTATTGCTTTACTTTCCCATGAGTCCGATATTATTTTATGGAGTGCCTCAGCTAATACCTTCCCTATTTAATCGGCAATATTCTTTCTTTTAAGGATTTGTTGTTTGTCTTGAAAGACCTTGCTAATGCTTAACCGAAATGACTACAGGTAAATGTTAAGTTAAAGCAGTGTTATCACAAAGGCTTCCACCATGGAATTGGAAAGATCTTTTCTTCCAAGGTATTTAGGTGAGTCGTAGAATTTCAAAGTTGAAGAACTGTGTTTCATCGTGCTCAATGATTTTATCACAAAACCTGCTTGTTATCACTCATTCAGATAGTCGCTAATAGATATAGTTTGTTTTCTTTGTGGTGACTTTTCATGCATTTATGAGAAATAAAAATATATCTTTGTGAAAAAAAATTTCTCATAATCTATGGCATGACAACATTCAGATCTTTTCGTATGATTAACACTAATCGGATTTCATCAAAACAATCAAACATATACAATTTTTATAGTAATAAAATACATGTATTATGTTAAAGACAAAAAATGCAGTTTGATAGTGATGCAGATAAATCAGAAAAATAACAGCATCCAAAAAAAAAAAAATAATAAATAAATATAGATCGTCATGTCTCTAAACGTTGCATCATCTTTTTAGCAAGGCTAAGGTAAACTAGCACACGGGAAAATTATAAAATAGCGATAATTTTATTCTTTAACTATGATGTTTAAGGGTATTTCTAAATTCTCAAAGAAATCAACGATTTCCATTCGTGACTTTAGTATTTTGAACAGTATATTTTTGATTTTCCCACATTAATTTGAGTGTTGTTAAAAGAAAACCGATGTAAATATAAATCATATTTAAATTTTCGGGTTTTCTTTTAGCGACACTCATTTCATTGAAGCAATTTCACGGCACAGGAAAATAGCACAAAAAAAAGCCAATATTACACAATCTTATGAGGAATATACGATTTTGAGGCGCATGGTTATAGGGAAATAGTTGACCTTGTGATTTTCGTAATGATAATGGGAAATTTCTAAGATTCTAAATAAAACTTCTTTATATCGCTTTGCAAAAATTTAACCCGTGATTTTCGTGATGATGATTATGGGAAATTTCAAAAGTTCTAAATTTTTTTATCGATCATATTTTTCAATCAGTGACGTCTATATTTATTCGGAATCTGTAAAATTTTTAGAATCAGGAAAATCGCATAATTTCTCGCGATACACCTCTTGAATGTTTGCTAGGTTTGTGACGTAGATTTACTCAGATTTCAAGATCAGGTGCCAAGTGACACGATCTAGAAAATTCAAGAAAAACGTAAAAAAAAAAAAAAAAAAAACTGT